CAAACTATGAATTTTTTTCAGGTTATTTGACATCTTACCCCATGTAGAATCTATACTGTAAATATTGTCAGAAGGGTAATAGGCACTTTAACAAAGTGATATGAAAAAATGTGAATGACTGAAAAGATATTATATATCAAAGTATAAATACATAGATACATGTAGACCTACTTCATGCCACATTTAACATCAGATCCATCCCTAAATTGCTAGTTATAAGCACTGAGCTCTAATGAAATATCTAGACTTTAACAGTACACAAACCTCAGGCAGGGTGGTATTGCAATGTCTCCCTCCATTGGCTGAGGAATCTGTGAGATCACATATGCATCCATTGTTTGATAGTTTGTTATGAAATGCTCTACAGTATCCCTTCCCAGAATTCCTTGTCCACCTACTGGTACTTTTGAATTTTCTTCGGCTCTAGCTTCTAGTCTTACAGTAAGGTTTCCATACTCTGATATTAGGTACTCCTCTGTCCATAAATGGAATGCCCTGTGTTTGTGAATCAAATGAAATTGAAACTCTTGAAAAACATCTTTGGGTTTAATAAAGAGAAATTGGTCTGTAAAATAGCAACTATACTGGAGACTTGTGGGAAAAAAAAGAAAATTTCAAATTAAGTGGAAAAGATACTGTACCATAAGTCATTTATTATCATTATTTATTGTAAAAAAAATATATATATATATATCAATTCCAGTAAAAAGGTATCATTTGCTTGATCATCATTTGTATCCATTCAGAGATGATAGAGCACTTTTTAAAGAGGGGGGTATATCSATTTTTCTACAATAAATATATATAACGAAACTAAAACTAAATAATATTTCATTTCTCATTAAAAATTGGGGTAGGGGGTTGGTCCTTAATCATAACTGACATACACGTAAAACACAAAGGAAAAACTGGGAGCACTTGGAATCTTTTTTCACCTCAATTTACCTTGAGTTTTTGGCTGCACCACGGAAAACAACTGCTTTTCTGGGTTTGACAAAGTTCTCCCAAAACTCTCTTGGATGTGGCACAGTATCAAGTTCTTGTGTTGCAACATCGGGTGGCCAATGTGAACCAAATGGCTGAAGATGTCCAACCATGGAGTCAAGCAACCCAGGCAAAGGAAAAACAGATAAGAAGAGGAAAACCAAAGCCAGTGCTTGCTTGAATGGTTGAAATGCGTAATAAACCATCATCAAGAGTATTCTTCACTTTCTTGGAAAAAACAAATCAGGACAAGAATTTAAAATGAAGGAAATTTTTTCTATCCCTCAGAGTTTAAAATAAAAATCAGCCAATCCTCATAATGTAAACCAAAAGAAAGAATGAATATTAAGTGTGACACCTCATTCAAATAAAAGACAACTGGCATGATGGTCCATGCAGGGACATGTACTACAGCAAATCTATCAAACAGTGAGTTTAGGCCTACAGACTGTACATTTCCCAAGCTGCTTAGTATGACAAACATATGGAAGGTCTTTTCATAACAAAGCTATTCTAATGTGTGATCGTAACAGCCGACCAGGCATTCAAAATGCTGAAACAATATCTGAAAATTAACAGTATCTTTACATACTATACTGAATTATTTATGTAATTAATAATGCTTTGATCTATTTGGCTGAAAGAAGGTCATTAGTTGTAAGCTTCACTTATGGAAACACTATAATAGAATTTTGTTTTTGTCAAAAAAGAGAAGTTTATTGAACACAAATTGGCTGTACTATGAATCACACGTAAGCAGTAGATTTGGTTTGTTTTCTTCTAATTCCAAGGGTTTTCCCTCAGGGTTCTTCGATCTTCCTCGCTTCAAAATAAACCCCATATCAATAGTGAGCTACTAATGTGTTTCATGTTCGATAAAAACTAAAGTTTGATTGGCGTTTACCTTGAAATATAAGTTCGCTTGCAAAGCCTATTCCATCTGATCTCTAGTGAGTAACAATATTATCTATACATGTAAAGACATGAAAAGACAAACAAACATGGATGATGCTCTTGTTGTCCACTTGAAAAGCTTATAAGTATTAGTGGGGCCCCCGTGTTATTTTAAAAAAAGATCCAAAGTAAATCACCTCAAATAACTTGCAAAAATTGAGGACAGCATTAGTATAAAAATTACTCTTAGTAAAATAGCATTACTAGATTATATTCTCCATAGACGTCATGTTACCTTCCTGTAGATAAGAAAAACATGCTTGGGGTTTCTGTGGAATAAATGCGCGCATTGGCGGATGGTCTTGTTAGAACCCACGTCCTCGCCGTCACCAGTCTGTCGCAATTTTTGCTGAAATCTTTCATGTTTTTATACGTTCCTCTTCTTTTGAAAGGTATCTGCTAAAAATATGAGTGCCAGGAGTATAGCTACCGTCATCGCTGGGGTCTGTGGGACAGTCTTCGTAGGATACTGCATTTATTTCGACCACAAGAGGCGATCTGATCCCTTGTACAAGCAGAAGATCTTAGAACGTGAGTTTACTTTCCTCTGCACATGTGTGTAGCATAATTTACTGCCAACGCTAGCTTCTGGAATCCTTTTTAAAGAAAACTGCTTCGTTGCTTTTTTGCATTTGAATTGCTTCCTTAATTGTTTTGCTGATTTAACTTCTCATTCAAACTTTTTGAATATTTTAAAAACCCTGCGTTTTTAGGGTGCAATTTTATACCTATTACAAGGCTGTCAAGGCTGATAAGCTTAAAATGCTACTATGATCAAATTTCTGACTTTTTTTGCCGTATCGAAAGATCTTTGATAGTGAAGTGAAATGACACTTTCGTTTTTCAAATATCTTTTTTGCTTCAATAAATATTGGAGTTTAATAATAAGAGCCATTTTGCTGATGACGTCATTTTCTCAATACTTATACATCATTGGATTATGATATAAGAAGAGATAACTAGCTAAAAACTAGTGTGAGCTGCGTCGGTGTTCCTAATGAAACAGTAATGATAAAAAGGTAAATTATATACGGAGTACTCCGACGAAGGACTAGCGTCCAAAACGTCAGTAAAAAGTTTTTTCATCTTTTCACGGTGTATAATTTACCTTTTTATCATTACTGGATTATGATATACTGTCGACTGCATCTACCCATTAACCCACGTGAACAAAACATGTTTTCACGTGACATCAAACATCTATGTTTGGCATATCAAAGTTCAAAATTTTCCCGCCATCAAAGAAAGTTTACAAGGCTATGTTTTCAATAAACAAAGAAGGAAGAAATTATCCTGAATAATTGCTTGCGCACTCCTTTGAGAGAAGATGAACTGCTTGATTGGACTATAGTTTCCAGGAGAATCAAGTCTTGGAATGAACACTTAGAAGCGGTTCAAGTGTGAGTCTGCAAAGGAATAATACTGTGCAAGTTCAATGACTTGATTTCTAATATCTTTAGAAAGTGGAACACCATTTTGATAATTTCTTCCTTCTTTGTTTATTGAAAACATAGCCTCGTAAACTTTCTTTGAAGGCGGGAAAACTTTGAACTTTGATATGCCAAACATAGATGTTTGACGTCACGCGAAAACATGTTTTGTTCATGTGGGTTAACGGGTAGATGCAATCAACGGTAGTGCATACCATATATCCGTGAAAAAATTAACAAATGAAATTTTACAGCTGCGTCGCTGCGTCGTCCGCGTGAGCGTGGTGTCGCTGAGCTTCACAGTTAAATCTATATATAGTTAATCTTGATGTATTGCTTTATTATACTATAGTCAATTTTTCTTATAAGTTCATGTTGATAGTTGTTATTACATATATTTTATATTTTTTAATTTGTAAATATTAGTAGTTTTATGTCGAGGGCCACAAGTTTATTAGTGTAGTACACTATTTAGTGCCACCCTCATTAAATAAAGTTGTTATTATTATTATTATTATTATTACAAATAAGTGCAAATTTTTGTAGGTCTATGATCTATTGAGTTTAATACATAAGTTGTGCAATTTTGTTCTAGCGGTTACCTTTGGGAAGTAGCAGAATGATGGCTTAATAAGTTTGACTTTAGCATTGCATTCTAAAACACTTTTCCCATAATGATGTTTGTTTTTCTAGCAGAAAACTACTTAATCACCAGTGATGTATTTGTACTGCACTAGTTTAGGGTTCTACATGAATTTCCTTCTCAGTATAAAATTTAACTGATTCTCTTTTTTTTTCATTTAGGGAGAAGGAAAGCAAAACAACAGAAACAGTCAGAAAATTTATCTGATATCAAGGTTTGTCATCACTTTTGGCATAAATTAACACTTGTACATGTAATGCAAGAAAAAATGTATAGGTTTTAAGGAACTTGAACTTAAGTGTGGAAATCTTTCAATGTGTTTGGTATTATTGATCAAATATTTCTTGTCTACCCAATGATTTGAAAGCAGATTAGATTTAGGTCCTAAAAGTAGTTTATCTTTCCATGTTAAACAGTGATGCATAAATGTTTTCATATTATAGTCTAGAGTACCTGACTTGTCAGATGCTGCAGCAGTACAAAAGTTTTTCCTTGAGGAAGTACAACTTGGAGAGACCTATTTAACACAAGGTAACCTACATGTTCTTTATTTTATCTGGTTAATTGGCTTAATGTTATAATAATAATGATGATTAGGGCTTGAAATAACGGTCGGACAATGTCTGGCCAGAACTGGGACTTGTCTGGCCAAATCTATGCCTTCCGGTCATTTAGTGACAGGCGAACACTTAACTAGAAATGAGGTATAACTGAGCTAAAACTAATTTGGCCTGTGATCATGACCGGCGATTGGCTGCTATTTTAAGGCCTGATGATGATGATGACTTTATTAGTGTAGCACTTAATAGCCCAGGGCTAATAAACTTGTGGCCCACATATATCACGATGATAAATGTGCAAAGTCAGTGCACTGTAAAAAAAATTTTTTTTTTTGAGCATGACACACAAAAGTAGGACCACATTAAATGTTGATGTATTTGCATATATAGTTATATGCATGGATTTTTTGCTGCTGTTTAGCTGTGTTTCTAATACATGTACAAATAATTTTAATTAATAAAGTACTGTTACATTTTCAAGCCCCTATCTACATTAGAGCACTTAGAGTTTGCTCAAACTGAGCTTGTTTTTTCAAAAGCTGTCAGGGTATTGACTACAATGCACATGATCACTGACAGCGTTTCATTTTCAGAACTTGTCATAACATTACAATATCAGCAAATGTTTTTAAGGGACTGACACGTATAAAATGGGGTTGATATTCAGGATATTGATGTATTTTTGTTGAAAATATTTGGTAATATTTAGTGAGACCTTCAATTGTTTGTTTGCAGGTGATTATGACAACACTGTCAAACACTTGACCAATGCTATAGCAGTGTGTGGCCAACCTCAACAACTTCTCCAGTTGTTCAAGTCTACCTTGCCTCCAGCAGTATTCCAAATGTTACTGGATAATTTAGACCAGCTGAAAATAGTCACAGAGCAGGTATGAGTTTTGCCACCTAGTTGGATCAATGATTATTGGTTGAGCATAACCTTTTGTGCAAGAGGTCATGGTTTGAGTCCCAGCCACACCAACACTCAGGGTCTTAAAATAACTAAGGACAAGGTGCTGCCTTTGTAATAACATCTTCACATTGCTCAGATGACCATTTAAAATGATAGTCCTATCTTTCCACACTAGTTCACTTAGCATTAGAAAGACGTAAGAGAAACCCTGGCAGTGACCAGTGTCTGGACTTTATTAATGATTCCTTAATGTGTTGATTGTTGATTGTTATGTGGATGATTATAAAGGGGTTGGAAATTGGTGCATTGTACCTCAAAGGGGACCCTGTGTGTTTTTTTATTTCTTCATTACTACAGAAATATTATGATTTACACCTTTTTTTTTTATCGTAGAAAATTGCTCAAGAGGGAGAGTCTTTGGATTAAACAGCAGAACTTTTTGGACAATCTACACTGCACATAAAAGTTATACTATTTACTGCTCAACATAACTGTGTAATTTTGTATTAAAGTGTGACAATTGCAAGCCACTGTGTATTCATTCACATCCATAAACCTTCCCAGGCCACAAGTTTTAAGATAACAATGGGCAAATGATTTTTGGAAATATATCTATACAAGATTGATTAATTTTCTCTTTATGTATGCAAAAAAAAAATGCTGTAAAGACTTTTGTCAAGTTGGATGTGCATACCGAAAAAGGTACTTTAGGTACTCAACTTGATGCTAGGCTGCATAGCATATTACTGGACAAAATTAGCATCTCATAAATGTTCACACTTAAAATATGTGGCTCCAAAAATCTCCTTCAGGGGCAGGAAGGTGCAGGGTGAGAAACCCCCTTGTTTGAGACCCAGGTTTAAATGGTTGGTTTGAATGTGTTGTACCCTGTATTGCCAGCTCTAAAAGAGAATGTAGAGCCTTCCTGTTTCCCTACTGCATCTCCTCGGCTCCCCAAATCTCCATGGCTAGAGAGTCTGGCATGTATCCCTCTTAGCTCCAACAACCATTTAAAAAATAGGTTTTGGAAGATAGTGTTACTAATGATCTATATCAGAGGGGGTACATCCGGATCATCAATGAAGTCTTTATCTGGCTTTTCTTCATTAGTTGTGTCTTGTACTTCTTCCTTCTGCTGACTCATTGACTTGCTTTTCAAGTTTGAATTTACAATATTTCCAAAGTCAAGATTGTTACTGGCTTCAGGGTTGACCTCAAGTTTCTCGAGAAGTTTTCTTTAAAAAATCCAGTTATAAAACCAAGACAGTGTTAATAACTATGGCATAAGATAGCATGGTAGTTGTATATTCTTTAGTTTCAATTTGTTTGAATCTAATTTCCTCAAAGTTAAGGATATGAATGCCTCACAAAATATATCTGTAAATTCCAAATACAAGGATGTGATATAATCAAGAAGTTTGAAGTGATAACCATTTAAATTAAAGGTTTTATCACTTTGCTTTGCTCAATTATCCACAATGTTGCAGTTACCTTTTTTCTGGTTCTTGTGATGTTGCATTACTTTTCTTATAGTTTGTGGCTGGTTTACTTCTCATGTTCGGCTTTATAGGTTTCAAAACTTGTTTCATCTTGGAATCACAAAAAAACCAAAGTCAAAGGTTATATTATACGTATTTTGACTTTCATCTCACCCAAGATGACCCCGGGGGGGGACTCTTGCTCATTTAGGGTAGGGATCTGCCGCTGAGCCCTCTGAACCCTGACCCTGTTCCAGAGAAAAAATCACTGAAATTCATAGATTGCTGAAAACCACACTCTGTTCTGGTATTGCGAAAATAGATACCCTGTTCCAGAGAGGAGAGAGCATGATTTCATATACACTGTTCCAGAGCGAGCGTGATTTTATATACCCTGTTCTGGAGTTGAATCGCTGAAAACCATACCCTGTTTGGTGACCCAAGATCGCAGAGATAAGAAGCAAGAGCTTTTCTACTACATTACCCTTTGTGTTACCTTTGGCATAGTTATTAGAAGATGGCCAGTGGTTTGAGATCGTTTGGCTGTACTGGAGTCTGGGTTTACTTCTTCTGACAATACAAGCTGAAAAACCTTGAAGAGAGAGAGAGAGCATGCAATCTCCATGGGCTTAAGCCTGTATGTTTGTCCTCTTAAGCATCCATTTGGGACAGGGAAGAAGAAAAAGCAAGAATTCTTGCAATACAGGTATATTTCTCTTTGACTTCAAGCACTTATTTCTACATTTCTTTACTCCTTTACCCTGTGTGTATTTTCAATGGATGTGACCTTAAAATCGACAACTGAAACCTCTTTTAAATGATCCAAGAGCATAGTGCAAACGAGACTGAGTAAAGCGTGGCAGATTTCTATAAATTGATTTCATGCAAAGTTTTTTTATTTTATTTTTACAATATATATTTGGCTTACCTTCCCTTTGATTGTGATTCTGACATATTTTGGTTGAACATCAACATCCATGAGTGATATATCAAGATGCCTGTAAAGATCAGAATAAACTGATTAACATGTATGACATCTGTTATTACATTGAATGCATGCACATGGGTACAGTTCATATTATACTACAGACACTCTTGCATGCAAAACTTTTTTCTATACCACTTTATTCCTTTTTTTATCTTGGCTTACTTGTAACAAGAAAAATCCAGCACAAATGCATTGTTATCTTCATCATCCTCCAAGTGAAAATTCCACCTGTAAAAATTAGGGAAAACTATATTTCTTGTAAAACACATAGGGTTTGAAAAAGCAGTTTTCCATTCTCTCTGCCTTCAGTTTAAGGGGGGATGTTATGGCTTTGATTGGATAAGCATACAGTAAACAAAAATAAAAAGGACACCAACTTAAAATATTGTTTGGTACTTCAGCCGATGCTATCAAAAGGTTCAAAAAGTATGAACGAACCACCCCTCACTTTGAACATATAAGTTACAATTTAACATATATAAACACATTTAATTGGAAAAGTTTAATCTATAAACATGAAAACTTACTTTCCCTGGTTCATATTTAGTGGTCGTCCATCATCGGAAAAATAATGAACTACTCTTTCCATCTGGGTGCTTTCTGGTCCTCTGATATAAAAGAAATCATCAAGAGGTGTGTGAGAGGAAGTGGATGGGTAGATATGTGACGTTCTTCATAATGAAACAATTATGACTTACTTTTTATTTGTATTCTCCTTCTCTTTTCTTTTTTCTTGAATGTGTTTGTGAAGTTCTAACCTTGACTCTGGTGTGTATTCCACCTTTTCTTCCCAAAATCTATAATAGCAATAGTCATAAAATACCCCAAATAGACTAGAGTAAATGAAACCCTTTTTAATTCAGCAACTTACATTATTACACTATTACAACTTCCTTACATTATTTTAACTTTGCACCCCACAATGCAACAGTTTTGCAAGGCATGTTACATCATTTAGCAGGCAGTATAAACAATATCATATGCAAGGACTGTTGGTAGGAAAAGGTCTGAAGGGATAATTGAAGCCCTTTCACAGAGTCTTTGAATGAAATCAGAGTTTTCTGTACCTTTTCTCTGCTTCTAACTTCTCTTCCTCACTTCTAAGATCCTTTGATTTTTCCAATTTCTCCCTGCAATTCAAACATTACAAAATTAATTTGACTATTTGTGCTTCTTTTCTTTTTAGGTTTGTTTCACAGGTTCAAATAAATTGGTTTTGAAAAAATCCTAATTTGTCCATAAAATTTTGTTTTTGCATTATGTTCAAATAAATCATAGTTCTTAGTTATTTACTCTCTAGAAAATAAACACATCTGTCATCCCCCAAGGAAAAAGGAAAGTAAGTAATCAATTCCAAATAGAAGGTTGAGGGTCTGAGCAGGGAATTAGCTGTATTCCAAGTACTTGTGAGACTTGACTAATACTGAATAAGATTAATTACACCATGCCTCACCCTGGAATATCTGTGTACCAATTTTCTTTTCTAATTCCCAACAATTTCTCATCTTGTTTTTTAATCTCTTCTTTGGCTTTCATCTCTTTTTCAGATTCCTTTCTCTTTTCCTCCTATAAAACCAATAATGATGAGAAATATATGCACACTTAAAAGTATTATCTCTTACATCTAGAAAAAGTGTTTTTCAGCTAGCTTACCTGTTTACATAGATATTCATTCTGCTGCTTTTGGATTTTAGCCTCAACATTATCATAATTCTGTTGTGAAAGAAGGTCATATGAAGCTTAAGCAAATATTCCATTAAAGAATTTACTCATTTTTAATATATATCGGATATTATTGATAAGTCTTACTTTTATTATAGTATTCTTTCATTAAACAAGACTAGTGTATCTTATTAACAAATAACAAAAGTACCTGTAGTGCTAGTATACGTTCTGACTTGTCTATTTCTTTCCCATCAAGAGTTTTCAAATTAGGTAGTGTAGCAATAGTATATTCTCTGTAGCCTTTATAGTCTGTACAAGGATTACCAGTAAGATATCTAAGGCCAGACCAAGTGAAAAATTATAAGTTAGGACAATGTGCAGGCCATCGATCCATGCCTGCCTTGCAACCATGGTTCACATAAACTGATGGCTCAATGGTTTGCACTATGTCCAAACCCAAAAATTATTACTTTACCAAATTATTACTCTTAGAATCTTTATCATATTTCATGTGGTATCACATTAAACCTTTTCTGAGATAGCAAACATGCTGCATTGTGGTCTTGCCTGAATACAACCATATTTTGTTTGTCATAATATTTATATAGTGTTATTTGTAATAACCCTAGCTAGCAGAATGTATCCTGTTTACCAAACTTAGAAAAGACCTACAGAGCATACTGATCACCCAACAGACACGAAAACCACCCTCAGTAAGCTATGACACTCATTCCAAGTGACTTGGTAACTAACAGTACAGATATTTAGCAGCACAAAGGTTTTTCATTACAAGTAGGAACATTTCAAACACTTACAGCTCTCTCAAGTTATAGTTCCCTCTAAGTGACTGAATGCTTGTTAGTTCACCAATAAAATTGATTGTCAAATCTAGCTTCTGCAAAGATTCACATCCTATGAAAATAACAATGAAGTCTTTTTGTGTTGCACATACTTTTTACCTGAATTGGAAGTTTTCAGTTGTGAACTACAAGGATGGTTAAGCTGTAGTTAAGACTCATCAATATGAAGTGACGTGTTTCACATACCTATGCGAGGGCATAGGCATGGAAGGCTGAGGGAACCATGCCCCACCTCTCCCCCCCCTGTAAACAAAATGGTAGCTTTTTGACATTTATAAGGTAATTTTCTAAGTTTGTTGCAGTAATTTTGCTAATTGTTTCAAAAGTAAAATTTAAAATGCAATGCTGGCTCTTTTTGGGGGGGTTCAGCATTTCGGGGCCCTAACAAAATGGTGGATTTTTGAACTTCACACCCCTCCCTTTTGCAAAATACTGGATAACTTCAAATATTTCTCTTACCTTCTAGGTTTTCTATTCTTGTCACATTATTAAGAGCAAGGTTAAGGTATTCTAGTTTCTTCAGTCTTGCAACGTTTTCTAAAATTAAATCAAATCGTTCTTGTTCATAATTTTATTATTATTGACCTCCGACTACTGACCATATAATCATATAAGCTTTGGAAGAAAAACACAAGAACACAGCTTGCAGTGATTACCTATTTTGGGTATCAAATTGCTCTGTAAATAGATTATCTTTAAATCTCTGCAGAATTTGTCTAACAATTCAATCCTGAAAAGAAATTAATAAGGTTAACTAGTACAAAAACAGTACAAAAACAAACAAAAGTAAACTTGTACAAAGACATATTTTTGCTAATTTAATTAATAGTCAATAGTTGAACTACTCTGCTCCTCGTATGGATACGTTCTGGATATTCATGATTTGATTTGAAATAATCAGAAGAGATAGAATAGTCACCGTTCAATATCAGACTGGTGGAGAGAGATCTCTTCCAGTGTAAAGATCTCACAATTATTGTGCTCTGCTCGCTTCCGTAATAAGTCCTCTGTAACTGAAAAAAATAATTTCCAAAGTTAAAGGATTATGTTTATAGGGGAAATCTCAAATTCCAACGAATGCTTTTTTTAAAAATGCTCATCTTACTTCGAACCATGTTTTCATCTGTCAGTCCGCCATTTTGTTTTTGCTTTGAGCTCAGCAACCTGGCCTTGTACGCCCATGTTGTGTTACTATGGGAACATACATTCAAGGGAGTGGCCTGACCCTCATTTATGTTTATTTGTGTGTGCATGTGTGTTGTTTTCCTTTTTTGAGTTGTTGTTCTATCTTTAACTAAGTATAAAAGTGATAGTTTCCTCTTATATTGAATTATTAAACAGTTTTACTCTAATAAACTACTGGCATCTCTCCTTTCTCCCTAAAATGCGGTTCAACATAACTTGTTATGTTAAAGAGATATTTCGTTTTTGGGGAGATTATTATGTCCGGAAAACAAAATTCGCAATGTCAACAGCCCTACGCACATCTGTGGGATTGAACACGTGTTGTTTCAAAGCCACTAATATTTCACTCAATTGCTTCTATTTCAAAATATTCATAGACTGATAAAAGAATGATCCTAAATTCAAAAATTTATATCTGGAAAATTTGGTACGACTAAAGAATACCATGCAAATCAAATGCACATATTGATTTCTATTTTTGTATGGCCGTTCTACAAAGAGTTCTGACCAACTGCATTTGATTTGCTTTTAAAACTCCAGTTTCCAGCCGGGTGGTGTGTCTGGCGTTAGGTAACAGGGCTATCCCGTCATGCCATGTGGCCTTTGAGTTAGCCGACTGCTGGTGTTCTGACGTCAATAGAAAAGACTTACATCCGGGACTTTCAAGATGGCGGCAATGAGTTGACCAATCAGAAGCGGTTTGTTTATTGTACGGCCATCGCTCAACAAGCTTTTGGAGGAAGTTCACTTCTTTTGAGTAAAGATTGGAAAAATATAGTCCTATCTGAACAAACCAAAACGTAGCCATACGGCCAAACGGACCAGCGATTTCCCTTCTACCATCAGGGAATCGCACAGCTTTTTCCAACTCTTAAAATGGAATTGGAAGCTATGGAAGTGAGTGCTATGCGAGTTTGAGGTGTTTGTACTGTTGTCGTTATGGTAAGACCCTTGTGTCTGTGCAAACATCACTAGCCTTCTAAATCTTGTTTTCTTGCTTCTCTCTGCTCCTTATTGTAGGCCAGGAGGGCAGGAGTAGGTCATCCTGCTGCTGCTGCAAGTGGCACTTCTCCCCCAAATCCAGACCCGTTTCATCGAAAATCTGTCCGCAAACAGCCGAAGGCACCTCAAAAGAAGCAAGGATCGTCAAGGTTTCGGGCTAAAGTCAATGTAGAAATTCAGCAACTTAGTTTACTCAAAGGTAACCTATTCTCGATGAAAAAGGATCCTTGTTGTGTAGTCTTTATTCCATTATTTAATACGGGCTTTGCTCTGTTTTCTTGGGTTAAAATCGACCAATCTTGTTTACAACTAGATTCGCCGCCCGCCGAGCAGCAGGAGTTGTTCGTGAAGAAACTACAGCAATGTGCCATAGGTTTCGATTTTATGGATCCAGTCGCTGAACTGAAGGGTAAAGAAATAAAACGAGCTACTCTAAATGAACTAGTAGACTTTATCACGTCTGGAAGAGGGATTTTGACAGAGGCTATTTACCCCGAAGTCGTCAAAATGGTGAGTTCAAGGTGGAGTTGTGAACTTTTCGTAAGGGAAGATTGTACATGAGAATAGTATAATTTGTCTCTAGGTTTAGAGCAAATTATTGCCATCGAAATATCAGCGATGATATCAAGTGTAACCTAAATTATTGTTATCAAAAGGGACTTGGATCTCATCTCTGTTGTATCGATCTCTATACTCTGTGGTAAATAGGAAATTGTGAGAAAAATGTTGTTGGAAAATGTTACCCGATTATAATTCATAAAGAATGCACATAGTTGACGATGACAGCCAAGCATTTTATTCCTCGAGACTTGTTTAATTCTCCTTCTGCAGAAAGGCGATCATAGAGTCTTTGTCGTCTTAACTTTCCCGGATCAGTATTGTTGATAATGTAAATGTTCGTTAGAGGAAAATATAAAGTGATATGACGGAAACATAGTTCAGTAAAGTCTACATTTTGATACGCTCTTTGGGTAAATAAACTAGTGGTCGAATGTTTGTGTTGTGAGCCAACGTGTTTTAACCCGCCACAAAAGGTTCAAACTCATTTGACGTTCTTTCTTTTTTATAACAATCCAGAGAGTACGATCACATTTATTATTATTCACTGATACTAAACTCATTTGAACGGAAGTAAGCAAGCGCTTAGAAATTCTTCAAATGAATAGTGGTTTTTTTCTTGTTTACTGAAATAACTTGAGTTGTTGGTTTTATCTGTCGCTAATTTGATTAACAGTTTGGTATTTCTTTATCAAAGTAAGCCTCTCTCCTCTATGTACTTGTAAGTGTGCTCTTCTCTATATCTATATTTATGTTCATTCTGACATTTTACTTACTGTTACTAGCGAGCTGTTTATTAAGAAACCCTCTATTAGCATTCTAATTTTGCCTAATGCAACTTTCATTCTAGTTTTGTCACACTTTCATATCAGAATTGTTCCTGGTATGATCAGATCGGTTAGAGTACATTTGAGATGCTTACTACATGATAATATATGCAAAGTTTGTGTGGATTTTTCTATTGCAAGTGTAGCATGTGTTTATAAAGTATTGATATTCAAAGTTGAAGTGAAACAGTAAAGAGAGAGTACAAGAGTAACAACTGTAATCAATGGATTGTTTTTATTCATCTCCATGAATTGTGTCCAAATTGAGAGTAGCTTGAGTTAAAAGAATTAATTTACTACAGGTGACCAGGATTTAGTCCCTTATTATCATCTCACTGCAGACATTCTTCAGACATTGTTGTAGTTTATTTTTGTTATTAGACTAGTCCTTGATAGTAGATGTTGATTTTGCTTCTTTGCAATTATTTACTATTTCATTCTAGCTACATCACCATACTGTATTACATCTACATAAAACATAATATTTTACTTGCTGCAGATAATCTAAAATAATCAGTTGCCAAACTATTGATCCCAGGATTGATGTATGGTTATTTGGTTGAACTTGAATGTCTGAGGGAGTTAGAATTGATTCTCTGAGGCAAACTTTTTAATCAGCTTTACAAATAAATGAAGTAGGTAACTTTCAGATCCTCTGATTTATGACCAAGTTTTTAACTTTTACAACTGAACTTCCATTTGTAACATATGCCTTTAAGATATACTAATACTAATCTAAATCAAACACCTGGAAAATAATACTTGTAAACTGCCAGGCATGTATCGAACATTATTGACGAGACTGTTGAAGATAGAATAATGGTTTAGAATAACCTGAGTTACTGTAGTTCTTGTGTCTCAATAATGGTTCACTTTAAAAGACCTAAAAAGCTTGTCCCTTGAATCGTGCTGCATTACCTGTGACCAAGTATTCATGATAATGTATATGCCTCAGTGCTGTTTGTTCAGTTGTTGTCCAATCTTGTTGTCTAATGAACCATACACTGACTCACTATGCGATGGTTAATGTCTATTAAATACATATAAGAACCACAAGAACATGTTGATAAGCTTAGAAGTTTTAATGCTATATAAGCTTTAACTTGAGGGTACATTAATTTAACAAATTGACATCAGATTTTTAATGTGTCTGTTCTCTTATTGACGATAAATTGAATCATCACATTGTCAAAGTAGTGTGGATCCACGAGGCATAACAACAATGTGATGGTGCAATTTATCGTCAAGAAGAGGACAGACACATATAAATCTGATGTCAATTTGTTATTTACAATAACAAAAACGATATAAACTTCTGATTTTTACTGATCAAAACAAGTAATGGAAAGAGTGTGCGCTCGTTGATGTTAGCTTTATCTGTCTGTCCTCTTATTGATGATAAAAATTAACCAATCAGCGTGCGAGAAATTTGTTAATTATTGTAAAAATAAAAATTCACTAGACTAGATTCTCTTGATGCCTAACAGTGGATTACTTTGGTTTTATTTGTTTTAATGTTTTATAATATTATAATCAGTGTTCAAATGACAGTATACTACACTTATCTGATGTTTTAATGAATTGATTGTAGAACACTTTGTAGTACTGGATATTGCATTTAAAACTTTTAAATTCATGCTTAAGCACACCATTTTATTGTCATTTTGAGTTGCTCTTGTTTAATTGAATTAATACTATGCTATTAAACTCAGCTAGATATTACATTGTTCAATAGTGGTGTAAAGATGTTGTCTAAAGTAATAAAGACATCCTGTTGTGGGAGTTTATCAAAGTGACTCCCACCTGTCACAATGAATGAGGACGCAATTGATAGAATATACTGTACTTCAAAACCAAAACAATCTAATAAAATATACAAAATAATGATCCTATAGTTATAATAGCTATTTCTTCTCAAAATGTTAAATAAGTTTAATGTGTTTTTTTGGTAGTTTTACTGTGCTATGCACCCAATACAGTTTACGCTTCTACAAGTTTTTGATTTCTTTTTGACATCTTTTTGGCAACTTTTTGACAAGTTTTACTGTGAACACTTCTAGAAGTTTTTAATTTCTTTTTGGCAGAGTTTTAACTGTGCTTTTTATCGCTAACTAATGATTATTAGACATAGCACTTCACCCTGATATTTCAATAGGCTGAGTTTGTACATTGATGTAACAATCTCAAAGCATCAAAGCCAACACATATTTGGTTAGCAGTAAAGAGAACGATTAAAACTTGTCAAAAAGTTGTCAAAAATACTAGTAGAAGTGTTCAAGGTATGGCACGTAGCACAGTAAGAGAACCATTTAGCAGGCATAACTTCTATATCATTAGAAAATGCAGGATCTAGTCTGTTTGTATGTATGTTAATCACTGTGAAAAGACTAGGTTTTGCTGGATTTATATCTTGATATGTCTGAAGCTAATCTTTTAATTTTACTCTATCTTCAGGTGGCATCCAATATATTTCGCACCCTACCCCCATCAGACAATCCAGATTTTGATCCAGAGGAGGATGACCCTACTTTAGAAGCATCATGGCCTCATCTACAGGTATAGACTGATATAAGGTGTATTTTGAAAAACACATGTGAATATGAAGCATTATTAACTCCTTGATATCCTTTTCTTCCAGCTAGTTTATGAGTTCTTTTTGAGGTTTCTTGAATCACCAGAGTTCCAGCCCAGTATCGCTAAGAAGTTTATCGATCAAAAGTTTGTACTGCAGGTAAGTTGATTGTTTACAGTCTCCCTTTGATACCTAGTATAGCACAGTCTGGTTCACAGTAATATACTCATTTATATTTTCATTTAGCTGCATGGTAATGCTGAATTATATAAAGTATTAAGCTGTAGATTGAAATGAAGAATATATGCACTGGGCTGTAACACCTTGGTTGGATCTTCAGATCTGCCATCATAATAATGTTAACATAGTTGCTGATTGGTTCACTATTGTGTATTGGAGGATTTTCTCCAGGTTTTTCTTTCTTTTTCTCCTTTCTTCCTTAGTCAATCAAAAACATGTTCTGATATTAAAAGCATTAGTGTCTTTAATCTTTTTGGTATTAATTGACATATGACACTGAGACAGTGAATTGAACCAGGGTCACATTGATGAGAGAGGAGTGTACTCACCAATGCACCATCAGTACTTTCAATCTGTTCTATTTTTCCAAACAGTCTACCAAGCAAACTTTAAAACCTGTTGTTCTTCTTCTGGTTTCAGCTTCTTGAACTTTTTGATAGTGAAGACCCTCGGGAGAGAGATTTTCTCAAGACAGTTCTCCATAGAATATATGGAAAGTTTCTGGGACTTAGAGCGTACATTAGAAAACAAATTAATAACATTTTCCTGAAGTGAGTATGGTTCCCTGACACATCCTTTCATTATCTCTTCAACATTTGTATTTATTATGGTTGATTTGATGGTTCTAAGTAGCACTTGTATCTAAATCTTTATCTTTAGATTCATTTTTGAAACAGAGCACTTCAATGGAGTGGGAGAGTTGCTAGAAATCCTAGGAAGGTATAATTATGTTTGATTTTCATTTTTCTTCCATAATTTTATCTCCACTTTCTTTGCACTTTAAATATTTGATATTTATTCCATATTCAACTTGTGTTTTTGCTTAGATTCTGAGATAAGAGCAAAGCTGTTTGGCAGAGTAATAAAAATAGCATTCCTGGCATTGTAACATATATTTTAATACATCATGAGTGCTAATGGAATTACCATAGTAGCTTTTATTAAAGGTGGATAAATGTGTCTAATTGTGTGTTAAAAGTAGATTTTAAGACTTTTACTTGTAATGGACTCTCCTCAAAATGACCTTTAATATGAGGCTAAAATAGGAATACCAAAAAAACAAGTCTGATTGTTTTTGTATTTTTTATGTTAGCATCAAACTCGGGGTCTGTTGCCTGTTCTTGCCATGTAAACCTACCTACCTAATATTTTCCAGGTGCCATTTTCATATTTTAAATTATTAAGCTGTCAAAACTGAATTTTAAAATTTGTTCAAAGTAAAGAATAACACAATACTAGAGTATGGTAACAATTTCTAGAACCATGAAGCACCCTAAAGAGTGAAGGGGCTAAGATAAGAGAATAGTAAGCAAAAAAGGGAAAGGGGGTACCATCTTTCTCCAGTCCCCCCTCTCACAGTCCATGTATTTCTTGCATCATATAACAATTAGTCACTAAAGGCAAAATGATTATCAGTGAATATTTACTGAATCTCCAAGCAGCAAGGTCAATATTCACTAATAAAAAAATAAGTTTGAGGCAAAAAAATCGTCTTAGTATTGCTACACAGGTGATTATTGGGGGGAGGGGACATAGGTTTGTTTCTAAAATTTCTATTTTTTCCTATTTTGAAAGCTGCATGCATCAACAATAGCTTGAGTTCATATTTACTTATATAATTATATATGTATGTATGTGTATGTATGAGAAGAGAAACAACACAGGCAACTAGTAACTGTAACAATTTTATGAGATTTTTCAACCTTCATAAGCTATCTTATTTTTCTTTTAAAAAAGTATTCAATATTGAAAGCAAACGACAACAGCAAAAGAATGATTAACAGATTTTGTCGTTTTCATTTTTGCACAGCATAATAAATGGTTTTGCCCTTCCACTAAAAGCTGAGCACAAGATGTTCTTACAAAAAGTCCTTATTCCTCTTCACAAAGTCAAATGTTTAGGCTTATATCATGCACAGGTATGTGATCATTTTTAATAATGCAATTTTACCCTTAGTCAATTTGCACGGAGGTCATAAAAAACAGAACTACAAAAATCCAAATTGGGAAGAATTTTTGATGTATACTTTATTCTTGCAGTTCATATTTTTATTCCAATACTCAGCCGTGAAATAAAATGCTCCTCTGAAATTTAATATTTTAACCAGAATTTTTCATTTTCAATCATATAAAGATAACTAATTCATGTTCGGTAGTTAGCTTTTTCTTTTGACAATGTTTTTACAATATTATTTGTGTTAAAGCATCTTCATTTGATATAAAAAAACATAAGTTAAACAAAATCTCAACCTTTGTGCCTTTGAGTTGAAGTAATTGCTCTTCAGTTGATTGTAAATGTCTGTTATTTTGTTTTGATAGCTTGCATACTGCATTGTACAGTTCTTGGAGAAAGATGCCACACTTACAGAACAGGTTAGTTTCAAGTGATACATATCAGCATATTTACACAACTTAGAGAGATCCATTGTCTCTCTTTTTATACTATACTTTCTGGGAATCCATTGTACAGTAACCTCCTTTGATGAGTCATTTTTGGACTCTTGGAAAAAGACACAGAGAAAAATAATATGTTTAAATATAAAAAAAGAGTTTCATATGAAACAGTACTCTAGCAATAAAACTCAGTTTAGTTTCACAGGGTCAAACCAGGGTTCATTTATTATTGGTGAAGGGGTCATGGATGTTTCCTCAAGTTATCTCAGTGATAGTTTAGTATATTAGAGCAGTTTTCTTATGACTGTGAAAAATTTGGTGCTGTATATAATATATAAATTTTAAAAAAAACATAAAGGTCGTGGCAAGGCATATTATGCCTTGCCACGACCTTTATGTTTTTTTAAATTTTGATTAAGGGATTTTATTCTCATGCAATGTGAATGGTTTGGCAGTGCTGTGACATTGGCATGACTGTGTCTGTGCCATGTTTATGCCGTGTTTTGGGCATTTAATTGGATGGAGAGTAAATTCTTGTGTAATGTGATTGGGCTGCTATATGCCTTGCCATATTCATGCCAAAAGCTTTTCACAGTCATACCAAAATTGCTCTAAGGCATAAAATTAATTATTTTCTACTATAACATATTCAAGTCTTCATAATGTCCAGTAAATTTAGTATTACCAAAGTTTATGACTAGACTATACTTCAAGCCATTTTTTCTACTAATAGGTGCATTACATTTTCTTGAATCTAAATTTCACATTTGATCTGTGAGCTAGTCAAAATAATAATAATAATAATAATAATACACCTAAGTCCAAAATGGCGCACCACTGAGTGTGTTACATGAAAACAAGGCTTCCAGGGTCAAATGCAAAGAAATAATATGGTGTCAATGCAAAGTATACACTTGTTCACTTGTTCTGTCTAGTTTCTTTTCTTCTACATTCAGGAACGTGACAATTTTGCATCAAGTTATAAGAAAATACTGTAAATTTGTGAAGTTGGCCCTTGATGTGGTGCACTGTTTTGGATTTAGGTGTATGCCCTGACTTAGATCAGCCCAGTGGCCGTTATTCAATTTAACTCTTTCTTGGTATTCTTTACAGGTTGTTCTAGGTTTGTTGAAATTTTGGCCCAAGACAAGTAGTCAAAAAGAGGTGAGCAATAAAGTTAGTTGCATAATAGTTGAACAACTAGAAGTTAACAGAAACAAGAAACTAAGGGGTATATATGGAGAAAACACTGCCTGATATGATTTATACTATTCATCACATTCAGTCAATAATCTTTATTTTATAATAGTTTTGGTAAATCTAAACCGGTTGGATTTATGCTATCTGTATCAGTGTAAGAACTACTATTGTCTGTCCTATAGATAGGCATATTACTCTCAGGTAACCCCAGTAGAACTTTCTTACATCAAAACTATCATCATCAGCATCCAGTGTTTTCAGTGCCAGCTATGAAAGAGACATCAAAAGTTTAATTTTTACTGACCATACACATATACACACACTTTCTAATCTAGGTTAAGCTGTATTACCCTTATAACAGAAGAGTGATAAGAAGAGGGGTCAAGTGTATAGTTTTGACCCTAGTTTTCAAAATCAATTGCTCTAGTTATTGTGGACAGGTATATAACTTAAACTGAAAGCTGTTGTTTGCTAATAGCTGTATGGATGTTCTATGCAGTATGAACTTTTCAAGATTTGATTTTCATTTTAATATTTCATGTATGTATTTCTACCTCCATACATTCTGGTCCATTTAAATCAAACTTTCAACAATTTTCGCTTATGAAAGAAAAAACCATGCATGCTGTTCTCATATTCTATATTTTTGTTGCTTTGTGGATGGTAGTTTTATAGTTTGATACTGGCAATGAATACTTACCCTTGATTTGTTGTCTCTTAGGTTATGTTTTTAGGAGAGATAGAAGAAATCCTGGATGTTATAGACCCACAACAGTTTCAAAAAATCGAAGAACCACTTTTCAAACAAATATCAAGATGTGTCTCTAGTCCACACTTCCAGGCAAGTCCTTGCATCCTTTTTTTTCCTTCAATATATTACAGCTAGATGTGCAAAAGTATGATTAGTGATAATGTATTCACATACTTTTATGCACAAGCTTTTGTATGTTAAACTGATACATTGCGATGCAAAGCTGGCTGGTTGTACTAATGAGGCATGTAAAAACTTGTTTGTAAGCAAAAAGCCTATGCATAGGAAAACATTAAATCTGGTAATACTTTTGCACATCTGTCGTAAAATTCTTACTATTCCTAATCACCTAATTCCAGAAAATATCAATATATCAGAGGGAAATATGCATTCCCAAGTGCTGGAGAGGGCCTTAAAGGGATCAATCCTGCAAATCCTTAGGGGGATTGGTACAAGTATAGTACTTGGACAATATAATGGCAAACTTCAAGACTTGGGCAAAGCTGGTTAATTAACTTTGACCTTATTTAATTCAGGTTGCTGAACGTGCGCTGTACTTCTGGAACAACGAGTACATAATGAGCTTAATCGAAGAAAACTCCAACACTATCCTTCCTATTATGTTCTCGAGTTTATATCGGATTTCAAAGGATCATTGGAATCAGTAAGTATATTATGTTCTGGTGTCAGTATAATCCCAACCAGTAACACACAATAAATGTGGACCTTAATTTCATTTGCCAACCAATGTTTATTTCTTAGGACCATTGTTGCTCTAGTGTACAACGTCCTGAAAACATTCATGGAAATGAACGGGAAATTGTTTGACGAGCTGACATCCTCATACAAAGCAGATAGACAAAAGTAAGGCAATATATTGTTTTTTTTTCCCCATTTACTAAATTTTATCAAGATGCATTTTAACAGATGCTTAACTTTGTTCTTTTAAAGGGAAAAGAAGAAAGAAAAAGAGAGGGAAGAACTGTGGAAACAACTGGATAAACTTGAGTTGGAGAGAAGAAAAAAGCTAGGCCTACCACCATCAGGCTCGCTTAAACCTAACAACAGCTCTGCAGGAAACCCCTCCTCCACCCCTTCTGATAAAAATAAGTCAACTCCAACACCAGCATCCAGTGGGGGAACCAAAAACATTAAAAGTTGAAATTTACTTCATAGTGTATCTATCTAATGATCATCACTGTAATTTGATTATACTCAACAGCAATTTGGCTTTAGGAGAGTTATTAATTCTCACCTTTTTAATTTTTCAGTACGAAAAAGTCTTTGTGGTGCCTCTAAAGGGGGCAAAGAAGACAAACACACTTGAAACATAGTCAATAATAAAGAATTGCCAGCCCCATTAATGATAGTAATTTAAGAGGCTCTTGTGCTCCAGTGTGTGTTTGTCAGGACTCAGATGGACTGCTAGCTAGCTGTTCACTAACAGGGAATACACATCAGAACATTGATTACTGCTTCTGAAATGTATTCTACTCTATTTCTTAAGATGGAATGTATAAGTTACGTGTACAGAAAGTATGTGCCAAAACAACCACAATAAACTTCAAAACTATGATCTTGTTTTCATCTTATCGATGTGTGCTGACATGTTAGCATCACATGGTGAATGTAAAACTCATTTTGCTGTTTCACGCAGTACTGCTTTCTGGGTTATTTAATTTCAATTTAGTTTAGATTGAGGATTAAGCCTTCAAATAATTTAAATGGTAGTGATTTTGATTCCTTTTATTTTTCTTACGTTTTAAACAAAATCTTGGTTGACATTTCTTTAGTCACTTAACAATAATAGTAATTAAACTTTTGATAAACTCAGTAAAATTATTACATACACAATTTGAGCTTTCAATCTCCACTGGAGTCTTGATCACATTGAACATTCATCGTGATCTAGAACCCTGGCAGCGGAGTTGAAAGCTTCAAGGTATGCTTCATTAAGTTTTACTCAGTGTATAATAAGTTTAATTCACTATTAAAATATTGGTTGTACATTGGGTGTGCATATTATTCATTAAAGTATCCAAGAAGGATATCCCTTCATGGAATAGACCATGGAACTTGTTGCAATGGCACCTACAAATGCAGGAAGTGTTATAGAGTACCTTGTGTGTCGTCAACTTCCAGGGGTTGAACACTTATGAACTCCACTTACAAAGGCAGTTAAAGAGCCCTTGGAGAAAAAAATAACCACATAAGTCTTTCATTACTCCTTTTGAAAAAAAAAAATTTGTACCTTGTATATACTAAGTTTAACAATGAGAAGYTACGATATTTAATGGTAAATTTCATGGATTATCAAACCTTTTGTACTAATAGACCTCTTTTAATAGCTTGTGTGTAATGGTCTTCCCTTTCGAGACCACTAAGTGGTCAAGTAACAAGTAACAAGTCTTGTTATTCTCTTGAGTACTACCATTTCTTTGTAGTTGCTCATGAGAAGACACAAAAATATTAAATCATTCTCAATAGAATGGGTGTGCAATGGAAAACCATGCCCAAGGTATGGAGGTCAATTGGGACCATAACACACTACGGCTAATTGAATTTGATTCAAGTCAATCGCTCATGGTAGTTGAGCACTCGTTCTGAAGCTAGAACCTAGTTGAGGATAAGGAAACTGGTTAGACTTAAGAATTCTTGACAATACTTTTAACCATTAACGTCATTTATAATACACTCAACAAAATTACTTGATTCTGATTGGACAAGAGGAGTACAATTAAACCCCAAATTGTATTCTCTAGATTCCCAATTAAGTTGCTTCTCGTACAATTCCGAATTTATAGATACTCATGATGTTTGAAAGTTCTCAAATTGAACTCACCTAAAAGCTTTTCCAATTTTGAAAACTTTCAAAACATCACTTGTATTGTACCTATCAATACCGAATTGTATACTAATATTAATCTGAGCACCAGAACCACACATACACTAACCTTCATAGAAAATTTTTGTCTTCTAGGTTTTGTATGAGTCTGGGGTTTATTGGACAATTTTCTTTTCTGTTTATTGTCGTAACCATGCTTCAGCCAATGATTAATTTTACTTTTTCTCGTAGGGAGCTACTCATTTTTTTTTAACCTGTGGTGGCCCATTTTATTGTTTATTGATTTATTTGAGCCCATACTTCACCCAACCCATCATAACCTTCAATGCCACATTTATAACCTGCCAGTTTACAACCTAACTTCAAAGCATCTTCCAATCGGCATCCATTGTACAAACTTCTGAAGACTCCTGCAATGAATGTATCACCAGCTCCTAGTGTGTCTTTGAGTTGATGTGGGGGATATGCAGGGCTATGTACCATCTCACCATGTGCATCCATCCCATCAGCACCTAGAGCACCCCAAGGACATACTAGTATACCCCCAGTCTTTATTCCACCATACAGCCCCTTGACAGCAGCGCTTCCAGTATCATATCCAAGGTATTCTGCTACATCCTTGCTTATTATGACTATATCTGCTCTGTGGAGAAGACTTAGTGTTTTCTCATGCTTTTTCTCTAGTTCAATGGATATCCTTATTCTATCAGAACGTTGCCTAGAAAGGTTAAACGCATCTACAAGATCAAGCATTTTGTGAATTTCGCTAAAGTCTCTTCTTGCTTCAAAGTGAACCCAGTGATAATTTCCAAGGTCTAACCTGATGAAATCTTCGCAGGAGACATCGGGAAACCCTCGTTGACGATAATGTACGATTGTTCTGCTTCCCGTAGCAAGGCTTAGGGTAACGCAGGAAGTAGGAAAGCCAAATCCTTTATGTACCACACAATTACCGATAGAAATCCCTCGTGTTTGTAGAGTATTTATCGCAAAGTCTGCACCATTTCCATCAGACAAAGAACCCAAAAACTCAACTTTCATTCCTAATTGGGCGAGTACATCTGCCTGATTAGCTGCATTTCCTCCTCGCTGCCAACGTTGATCTAAAGCACGTTTATCTTGATCTTCCTGGGGGTATTCATCGCATGTGCTGACAATATCCAAGCATACTAGACCCACGAGAAGAATACTCTTCTCTGACTCCTTGGCCGCCATTTTTGCACAGGGATCCCATCTTTTTACAGGTGTATAGTGGTAAGGAATAGGACCCTCCTGGCTATGGCCTTATGGGGTCCAAGGATCTTAGGTGTGTAAAAGAGTGCAGTAGAAAACACAGGAAAATCCTGGAAGAACCATTATAAAAGTAAACGTTAGCGAAAGTGGAAACCCTCAAGAATCAGCTCCAACATAGTAAATAGGATGGTCTCCTCTATTATTTATGGGTCCAAATGAACACGTCCTATTAGAGACTATGCTACTCTTTGTGTGAATCTTTTGTGGAGTAATAACGAGAGGTATGGATGAAGGACACGAAGAATAATCTTTCATTCATCCCCATCCTGGCTTCACAAGCGATCTCAGCAAAGTCATATCCTGCTTGCGTGGTAACCATACGGGAGCCGGCTGTCAAATATACGGGTTTGCTGCAAATTTGATCGACGTTAACGTTGGGCTGCGTTCATAATATATGGCAGAGGGTGGGCAGGTGAAATTGAGGGGGGATCGGAAAAATTTTGGTAGGAAAAAGGGGGATGGGCAAATTTTTATCAGAAAAATGGGGGATGGACAATTTTTGGAAGAAGCTACAAGCCTTGCTTAGGGGGAATCGTATTTTTTTGCATGACTTTAAGGGGGGTGTTGAGAATTATTCTGGACATTTCAAATTTTCACCTGCCCCCCCCCTCCCTCCTCTGMCATACATTATGAACGCAGTCTTAGTTTCAACAGTCGAGCATTCGAATCTAATTTGAATTTGATATGTTTGTCTCCAACAGTGATGATGTCAGATTTGTGTAATTTCTTGCCCCAAAAGTGAGTAAAAAAACACGAATACATTCATCTGAAAATCTTCAAATTAAATCAATGTGCGGTTGCTATGACAATGCGATTGCTTAGTAATTTAACGACTACATTCTTTTCTTTTTAGGAAGTCTTCCTTATTCACGGTCTGGCAACTACAACACTGACGAGTTTTCCAAGGTGGGTAAGTAGAACATGAATGAAAAATCTACCATGAAACACAGCCCTACCTTCCCTCCTCCTTATATTTGGTTCAACCGCACATACGAATAGTTTAAAATTTGAGGGTGCAATATAAAGATCTTACAATTAATAAATGGAAATATCAGAAGACCGCAGACTTGGTTTGACATGAATAGATTCTGCGAGTATATCATCACTAGTGATTGGCTAATCATTAAGACATATGCAACAACCATTGACTGGTACTCTGTGAGTCTCTGGTACCGGCAGGCAGCCACTGTTATATCGTTTAGTTTTCCCTGAGTATCCAGTGCTTTGTTTATTAAAATATTACAGACGTGCGAGGAGAGAGTATACGACTGAATATATTTCAATAGAAAATAGCTGCAAAGGCGGAGATTTCGGACAAATAAACTATTTTTTCCGAATTCATTCGGTTCTGTAAATCAGAAGCAAAGAAAGAGAGAGAAAGACACAAATGATCCAAAATGAGGCGGAGTGTCTCCTCAGAAATTTCGCAAACATCTTATTTCAGACAGAAACTTTCCCAAAATAATTCAGTGTCACAACCCTTTTCTTTTAACTTTTCAATTTCGTCAAAAATAAGAGAATTTAACCAGTTTTCTTAATACAGCCCATGCAGCATATATTCAGATTGAACTTTCCCTTCCCATACTTTTATACGTATCAGTTGCCTAGGAGACCTCGCAAACGCTGCTGTACAGTAGTCCGTTCGCGCATGTATGGTTTAGTTGTATTCCTGTTATCTCAGTTTTGAACAAAATTACTCTGGGCAAAGGAAATTTATCACTTGCAAGTTGCATGAAGAAATCTTTTGCAACATCATTTAGCTTTCGTAATGTATTCTTTATGCCCTTTTGGTTGCAAACACGGCCCTATACCATGATTCCAGCACAGCCGTCAATTGGTTACTCAAGCGTACTGTTCGTCAGGCCCAGTTGTCATCACAAGTCGGGTGGTTAACTTTCCCATAACAAAGTGGCTTTTTGGAAGTCCTGTACGCCTGACTGGTACCAAGACGAACGCTTCAGTAGCCTTGGACAAAGATCGCACCGGACAATCCAGCTCAGTCCATAATTCACACGCAACTACTACTTCAGTACTCTGCTTCCTAGAAGACCACATCCTGCGGAAAAAAATACTCTTTACCAGGGTTATTATTACGAAAATTCTTCGAGGTCTGATCCCCGGTAATCTTATCTTGAAACAGAGATGAAGTACAGAGAAGTCAAGCGTATTCACGTATAGCAGTGGAGCCAGTTTGAACGGTAAACTCCATGTTGGTACTTATAGTGAGCTTTAATTTAGCTTTACTTCGTCATTGTGAAACACGATTATTATAATATGAGTTTAAGGTGCTTTTACGTAACGTTACGAAATAGCATTAGCAAAATCTCACCTGAGAGTGCCGCCTAGAATGATCACTAGTATTGTTTGAAAGGGCGGAAGTGTTTCATATCCTAGTGCTACCTCTTCCTTCACCTCATATGGGCATAAGTAAGGAAATGTCATTTATATCAGCCCTCTTTCGAAACTGTTTGAGAAGGAATAGAATTTATTCTTAGCATATAATGTGTAGTCGCTAATTAAGGTGTTTCATGTCTAGTTCCTGTGCAAAATAAAACTTAGTGTAGGTCAGTTCCTGCCTTGGAATGCGGAAACTAAGCCATGCAGATGAACGTACGTTTTACACGTTACAGCATGAATTCGTCTCTGCAGATTAATCTTTGCTCAAAAAAAGTTCAACAGTGATTCCAGATTAACTTGTTTTATTTAAAAGCTAGGGTCACTCAGCTTCAAATAAACGGTCATTGAACTCAACAAAAGTATTTCCGTAATTGATCCAAGAAACAATGAATGAAGCAGAGTGTATTCATTTAAACTCACTGACTTGACATTTAGAGCTTATTCATTCTTGCATGATTTTGATCTGCATCTAGCTTATTCGAATTAGAAATTGGTGGTCAGCTAGCTAAACTTGTCCCTGATCATGAATAATTCATAGGATTAAGCTCAGTTGGCCTTTATTACAGCATTAAAGAATGTGAACCACAGTTTTTCCACAGCGCACATCCAGAGCTACTCTGCACTGATGTTTGACCAAACTGAAATTTGGAGGTAATTTTTGCTTTATTCGATTTTTTAAAATACTTCTCAGTTTCTTTTATGAACGCACCGATTACTGATTAGACTTTTATACGATTCCAAATCCAATTTTCCATTTGTGCACGGCACCCCTCAAAGAAAACGCAGCAACTAAAGCCTTAAGCTTCACCAACAAAACGCTGTTGTTCACTGCCCAGAAAGTAATATGCGCTATATATTTTCAAGCAACAAACTTTCCCTTTTTTCTTGGCTAAGAGACTACTTGGTCAGGTTTCTAAGTAAGTCCCACGTGTATTTTGTATTCGCAAGAATATACTAAGCAGCAGGTACCTGCAGTCAGTCAACTCGGACAAACTCAGCCTTCAAAACCTTTCTGCTGGAAGACAGGATCAGTTCCAACAAATACCTTCGCTTTCAAATACAGAGCTTAGTGTTTGGGCTATTTTGAAGTATGAAGAAACGTTTGGACCTACTTAGGTAATTTCTTTCGGTTAGAACTCCTGGGTTTGAGGTTAATAATTAAACAAGAGTTTGCAGAAACACCTGGAATTTTAGCTGGTGTACGGTGCTTGTAAGCCTACCCATGTGACACTGTAAGCCGATTTGTAAAAGGACTGCAAAACAGTCATTCAAAGTTCATGTTACTCTTTATTTATCTAAGCAGTTTGGACAGAAACGAATCTTCTCTTTCTAAAAACGTTTTTGAGGTGCGCCCTGTACGTCGCTATGAACAAGGCTGATGCTCGCTGTACATCGAACTGTTCGCGCGTCTCCTGTTTAGATATTGCTGGTTCAACAAATGAAACAATCATTGGCTCAAACAGTAGCACTAGCTCTACTTTTGCTGTTTTCAAAACATTTTTCTCTCCTAAGCTCTAAAATCAGCAACATACGGCGTTGGATGAAGCGTTCTTTTTTTTCCAAGTTTAATACTTACAGTATAATGAGTATTGAGCTTCTTGGCCAAGGTCAGTGAAGGTAAAAAATAGAATAAGTGTCTATTTTGTTGACAAGAGTCGAGAATAATAAGAAAATAATCATGGCTTTAGGCTTCAGGTTTTTCTTTTTCTCAATGAAAGTCTTGTTGAACCGTCAAGTAAAACACGAAATACGTACCTCCTGGCGAGAAAATAAGAGATTACTTCTTAACAGAAAAACTGCAACTGCCCAAAAATGTCACAACTAAAAAGCTGACAAGAATTAACTGCACAGGAAGTTCTTTCTATCAAGGAACAACTGATCCGTACTTATCCGAAACCGAAACTGAAAAGAACAGATTATTTTGTTTATATTGACTGTAATTTTCTAATTCCGACCTTTCGATCGGGTGGGTCTTTGTCGAGGTTAGTTGCAAACCTGTTGCATAGCTGGTGCTTTCGTTTAGTGCTAGGCCTTTTCTCTGAACTTTCACTAAAATATTTATTGCAGTATGCACCAGCTGCTTTTGTAATTTTGATCAATCAGTGGTTTACGAGCAGCTGGAAAGAATAACTGAGAAAAGTAACTTCTTTCCCCTTTTTTAAAGTTTTTTTCCCAATTACTGCCCTAAGTTACAAGACAGCGCTTTGTAGTCGGTAATCTCCAGGCTAATTCGAAAAGTAATCTCTATTTCTCGTATGAACAGATTCCGATGATTGCGTGACACTTCGATACCCAGCTAATCTCCCTGATATCGCAGATTGCCAAAGTATTTGGGCTCCCGCTGGGTTGCTTCATAGTTCCTATTCTTTATTACCATGGTGATGCATATATCATTTTCTCCTAATTTATTTTACGAAAAACTGAACATTTCTTTGAGATTGTAGGAGCGAAAAAACAAAAGACATTTTCAAAGCATAATGCCTTGTCCCTCCTACTTTTTTTTCTTTATCTTTTTTGTTTTTTTCTTTTGTTCTTCTTTTTGTTTCTGGTTCGTATAGGTGGAAAGTAGCAGCTAGAACTGAAGTCTGTGCTATTTCATACTTGCATCATTTGGTTTTAAATGTATTTGCACTTTAAAAACAGCTTTCATTGAACAAGATTACAGTTTGTCAAGCATTAATTCAGCACTGTCTGATTGGATAAGCTTGTCGTAGTGTTTTACCAGTAATGATATCTAAAACAACAAAGCCATGTAGGGCTTTTACTTAAAATATCACGTTGCATTATCTTACGTTTTGCGTTACCACACCCCTGGGACCTTCCAAATTAGCTGTCAAAAATTTTACGCGGTGTGTGCCAACAGATGTGTGTATGCACATTACAACTGGGTCCTTGTTATTTTGTATTATAGAACAGCGGTGGTCCGTTTCTTTGTCTATATCCTTCGGTGTTTTTGGAAATATTTTTTCCCTCGCCAGGCTGTGCACCGCAGAGCTCGCCGCAACTGATCAGTTGCGCACGCATTTTCAGGTTATGCAATGCTTTTGGTTTCACTCATGCAAAATTCGGCTTCTTTTTCTTTGTCTCACATTATATATTTTCTGCTCTTTCTCTAAGCTCACCCCACAGTAAATATGCTTACGCTTATCGGTTGCAACGCCATTTTCCATATTTTAATCTTAATTTGATTAAAATTACCCACTTCTGCATTTATTCCTTATATGGCAAATACAAGGAATATACCGAATGATGTTAAGCATGGTCCTTGACTGGTTTGTTTCAGCTCGATTATATGTACCTTTATCCAAACATCATATCCGTTCCTTTGTAAGTCAAGGCGTGCGCTGTCGTTCAAAAGCACGCGTTTGTGGGCCAGCTGGCTCGTTTGCTAATTTACCATATTCAAAAGTTCAATATCTATTGTTCTCCCTTTGTTATCTCTGCATCTGATACGAATGAGCTCATTTTCCAATCGCCGGGCTCCATTAGACCAAAGCTATTGTTTTACAATATTTCAGTTTCCAAGAGAACGACAGATCGACAACGCGCTTACCCAGAAATATTTATTAAATACCCGCTTTTATCGAAAACTCTATTACAGCACTCTTTCAATGTTTCGCTTACCTTAAACAAAATTTAACTACGATTCCAAGGAATATGAATCTTGTTTTTTATGTACATTAAACAGTCACACGCGAACGTGCAAACTGTTTGCACATGCCACGACCTCTTGGCAGCGAGAAGTGGTTTCGAGAAATTATGTGATGATGTAATTTATAACCCGGGCAACGTAACGACACAATAAACGCCAACGCGGCTCATTATCGATCTAATTAGTATACATCAGCAGTTCCAAAACGTAGCTAGAATATTTGACATCGATAAGATTAATCAGACAGTTTGGAATAATTGATAATGGTTTTAAAAATGTAGTAAATTTCGTCATGAGAGGCTCCTAGAATGCACTTCCGAATGGACTTTAACTACTGCATGTTTTATATTCAGTACTTTCTTCACTCATGTGATGTAGTTCCAATATTTTATGGATATTTATGGCAACGACGCAAAATCTATGACCCCTAGCAGGAACTTTAACAATATATCTACGTGCGTGTGTCGTCGAAACGTAAAAACAAAAAGCTAAAAATATCTCAATACCTGAATTGTCTTTGTAGATTTTAGCATTTTTAGTAGGAAAACAAGAACTTGAACACTATCGATTTTTTACGTTCAATATGACACGATGGCGGATTTGCGGAAGCACTTATTTGGAGTATTTCCGGCCGTGATGCACGAGGCCAGCTAAAGCAATACAAGCAGAAACCGGTACTCTTTGGTATTCATGCAAAATTTCCAAAACTGTGAACATTCTGCAAATGTTTTTCTATGAATTAACCAAATCCCAGGTCTACGATTTAGTTTCGAGGCATTTCCCAAGGCAGGAAGTTTGCTGGACGATCGGTTTTTTTGGCGCGGATCCGGAATTGTGCTTTGTTGTTGTTTGCAGAAAGAGTACAAGGAATTTGACCGGTTCATATGCACACCCAATTTCCCCAGGGAACATTACTGTGCAGCGATTGGTCAATGCGTGGGTATGTCATTGTTATATTGACCTTGTGATGACGTAGTTATGAATAGACTGACTAGAGTAAGGACCGGTTAGCACACAAACGTAGCAAAAATCGCAATTCAGGAAACATTGTGATCGGCAAATAGCAGACTTATCGCTCGAAATCTATCCTCACAAGGACTTTCTACAGCTGAAGGAACTTTCCTAGTTGTAATTCAATGGCTTAGTAATGAATTCAGGCTTAAAAGAGAAGGAGAAAGGTAGGTTTTTACGATCTGTAGAGTAGAACGCGTGGAAACGTCCACAACGAGCTGATTGTCGTCATGAACAGTTGTGGGTCGGAGTTGTGTTTTTCGTAAATCAAATTGCCACGTAAGGGCTTCAAGGCTGTGTCTTTTCCCTTGTAAGTTTGATTTTATAACTGCATTTAAGAAGGATATTTATAAAGTGGTGTTGTTAGTCGGATACCTAGGCGAATAACAAAGAGTAAGGCGCTCCCCATCGCTTGCCTTGCATCTGCATCTGTACACGCCACTTTATGGAACTCTTCCGTTTTCTGGTTATTTCATCTTAGTCTTATTTCCTTTACACTCTTAATACCATGGATTCCAAGTCATTTAAACATAAGAAAACGCAGAATAGCCATGCGAGGGATTTTATTTTGAGGGAATTTTCCCAGTTTTTGTCTTTCGCTCGGCCGTACAATTTCCTCCTTTCGATTTAAATAAATCCCTCGTGAATACATGAAATTCTGCGTATACAGCTATTAAAGGTAAAGAAAACACGTCATGGAATGGGGAATGACCGCAATGTTAACTCGATTTTTCAATAAAACACTGTCTCCCGGCATAGAAAAACACGAAAAACTGTTTATGAGATTCACGTGAGTTTTAACCAGGACAAACTACAAAAAAATGCATTATGCGCTTGATCAGAACTGAACAGGTAAAAGTTGCTTTTGCTGCTTTGCTCCATCTATCTGGGCCGCTTATCTGCTATCTTCCGCACTTTCACTTTTAAAATAACTATTTACTAATTTTAGTGGTAGGTTTTTCATGCATTGAGTTTCCTATCTTCGAAAGCTGAGATTGAAAATTCAGTCCAGAAATAAACTGTAGCGGAAAGTTGACCTGTAGTTGCACGCTAAGAGCCTTTGAAGAACCGGACTTTCTTTGCGGCTGCATACATCAATATTCCTTTATCTTAGACGGATATTATCGGCTAATAGTTTATCAGAAGAAATGAATTGGAGGAATTTTTGCTTTTTTTATGAGGATTTATAATTTTCATCGAAAACTTTAGTAAATGTGTCTTAACGACAATTTTTATGTTTACATTTTCAGGCCACTGATTGAACTTTCAAATCTATACGGAAAGAGAGAGGTGTTCAAGTTGTGTCGTCAAAAATAGAAGATTTCTTTATAAGCAAAGGTCGTATATATATTTAAAGAGTTAAGAAATAATTCAAGATGTCTTATGAGAATGTCCCGTGTGCAAGTCCGGACACAGAAGGCCAAGAGGAACCAGCGCCATCTCTGTACAGTGTTGATACTCACGAAGATCAAATCCAGTCGGTTAAAAAAACAGTATCTGTTCGCTCACGACTCGCTGAAACAGCAAATATTGAGGACCATGTCATAATGAATGAGGAAGAGATTGCTCAGGTTAGAGAATCGGTCTCTCGCTTGAACAGAAAGGATGCTTACGTAGAGAACAGGGACTTTCGTCCGGCCTCAACTTCGGAGAGAAAAAATGCTGAAGCGCATGAGGGAGAGAAACTCGGGTTAGAAGAAAGAAGGACAAACTTTGGTTCTTTTTCTCGAGAACGATGGATTGATTTGGCAAATCAAAAGCGAAGCCAGTCGTATGGATCTGAATACAACGAGAGACAAGGCCGTACAAATAATGCTGAGGTACCTTATAATGAATTCGCAGAACGTGGAACGAGCGTGATCAAACGAACCACACAGGAAATGAGTTCAGAAAATGATTCTGACAGCAGAGATATAAAGAAAATGAACCCAAATAGCAAAGAAGACTATATAAATCTTCATTGCAATGAAAGTATTTCTAGTGAGGATGCAGGACTATCTGGCAAAAATGCTAATGTTCATAGTAATGATCGTGTCTATCATTATCACCGCAATACCCACGAGGATTTCAAAAATAAAACACCTGTTGGAAAAAGGGATAACAAGGAAGACTATGAAAGCGATAGCGAAAGAGACAGAGCTTCGAGACTTCAAGGCTCTAGAGACATGGAAAAGAATCTTGATCAAAGAGCAGTGCCTCAAGTTTACTACATGCAGTATCCTAATTTAGTGGCCATGTCACAAGCAGGTGGCCCCCAGGCACTAGGTGTCTTACCAACCCATGCTCAAATGATGAGAGATCAGATTATTAGGGCTAGGTTTGCTGATAACAGAGCTTTACATCCTAGCCAAAGAGCAGAATATGCTGCAAATAGGCCAGAACAGCAAGTTCCTGTAGCAAGCAGCCCTGGAGATGCAACAGAAAATAATGGCATGTATGGAGTTCTACCCAACCATATTCAAGCTGCAGTTAGTAATAACATGCAGTATGTTGATAGACAAGGATTAGTTCCACCTGGCTTTGCTGTTCTGCCAGGCATAGGTCCAGTTAGAGTYATTGATGGCATGTATTACCAAGGTATTCCCATGGGAGCTGACCCTAGTCACTATAAAGAAAACTTTGCTTCTGTTCCTACATTTGTGCCAAACATTCAAGGAGAATCTACTGGCATGCGTCAGCAGAGACCCTCAGTGCCTAATACAGCCAAAACAACCAACACAGGACAACCTAGTGATTCACAGGCATCCACTACACAGGAGAAGTCAATTAGTAAGTAGATAAGTTCTCTTTTGAATGAAGTGTCACGTATCCAATTAAAGACATGATGTAATTCAACTCTTTTGTTTCTATACTACTGTGATGTGTGCAGTGAACCATAATATTGTCATTCTGTTTGCGTCATTAGTATGCGTTGCATGTATTTTCATGATGCTTGCATTCAAAGGCCATTACACCTCTTTCTCTTCAAACAAGGTAGTAAGTTACTTTAGTAAATCAGAATGAAAGTCTTCCTCTGGATATTAGCTGGAGGTATAAGTTATATGAGACATGGTTTTGGACCCGTGAACCACAGACTCTTAATATTCACTGAATAATTATGTCACAAAAAACAGACATGCTGGCATGCAATATCCAAATGAGCACAAGCCTGCTTTTTTCCTCTGGTAAGTCATTGAGAGTGTACAAAACAGTCAAGCTAGAGGACTAGAGTTATTTTGAGTGTATTATTGCACATGGATGCTTAAACCTTGGCTAGAATATTATTGTGTGACCTGCATGTAATAAGTAAATCAGTTGCTTCTGCTGGCCTGTAATCAAAGGCATATAAATGTCTGACTCTTTTAGATGGTTTTGCTGTGCATAGACACTTTTTGGGGTAAAGCATTGCATGATATTTGCAAGACCTCAGTTGTGCAAAGAAAATCCTGTTTGTTTCTCAATGCAAGAAAGCTCTATGTATTAGGAATTTTTACACAGACATTATTGTAGACCCCGTACTGATTACTGAATACTATCTAGTCATGAATTCAGATTAGTGACACTTAAGAGAGTGTGTTCCTGGTATTGCTGTGTCCTTGCTGTGTTATAGGAAGTACAGTTCTTGCTTTTCAAATATCTTACTCCAAAATTAAACTGCATAATTCTAGAACCTTATTTCACCCATCATAGAACAATTATTAGGTACTTAAGGTAATATTTAATGATCTGGAACATTCAAGAACTTTTGCTAAGAATGTTTGATGATGGAGTAAGGGAACTTTGACAAAATCTTGTCCTAAAGCAAGGAATAAAGTCATGTTACATAATTTTATTTATTTGACATGCTTCTGTAATATTATATATTCAATAGCCCTGTAAACAGCCTAGGTGGCATTCTTCCAAATATTTTAGAGATGAATGCTTGAGTGTGAAAACCTTTTTGGAATATTAACCCTGTACACCTCAGCTTCCTGCTGCTGGATATGTGCTTATGGTACATGTTGATTCTTGTTGGCTTTTGTTTCTAATTGTATTTCTGGATCATTTTCTGGAGAATTATATTTAACAAGGAYTGTTGGTATAGTTTAGATTTGCTAATCCCTAAGTCAACTGTTTTTATTATATCTTGCAGATAATTCAAAACCATTTGTCAGTCCACACCATGTCAACCCTGCATCACCATCAACAGCCATGGATGAGTCTAAAAGATCTGAATCCCCATCCATGTCAATCAATAGTGACAGAGATAGCCCTCTGCCTCAATCTGTGGATGATGTTGATAACAAATCCCAAGCTGCCAAATCCAAAGGCAGACCCAAACCTGTTTCTGGAGGCAAGCCAGAGATCAAGTGTGAGCAGTGTGGTAAAATCTTTGGGTCATCCAGTGCATTGGCCAAACACAAACTAACACACAGTGATGAAAGAAGATATGTGTGTTCTATATGCAGCAAAGGATTTAAACGACAAGATCACTTGTAAGTTTGTTGATTCCCTTCTTGACCTCTCAGACCACACATTTTTCATTTTCTCATTTACCATTGGCAAATGTATTTCTGACAGCAAATTTTACAGATTATTTACAATACATTCATAATATCAAGATTTTAAAGGAACAAATAAATAACTTGAAGTAAATTATTGATGGGTATGACCTAGACCTTTAAAAATGAAAAGGAACTGGTTAGAACATGACTCTTAGCTGTCTACGACATGATAGGAACTTTTCTGTTCAATGTAAATTAACGTTTTACTCAAACATGGTATATTTCCTTTATTATTTATCATTTTGCTTAAAAGAGTATTACCAAATTAGTATTTAGGAATGTGATTTCATCTGAGAAAAAAACCATTGATTTTTAATAATTTTGTTAATTATGTCAGTAAACATTTCATATTCTGTGAATTAAATATTTTAAGGTTTCATGATGAAAGATAAACATGATTCCTTGATTCTATTTATTTACCTAGCAATGCCTGTCATGACTTATTTCCAGGGTGCTTTGTCATACAATCCTTTGTTCTATCTCTCTCTGGAGATTATGTGTGACTGTCCTCCATAAATTGCAGATTATTGCCTTCTTATTTGTATTCTATTAAAATAATTTATTAGTCATGAATAGGTTGAAGTTCATTTTCTGTGTGGGTTTTTGTAAGGATTCTTGTGTGATATTGTCATTTGCCTCAGGCATATCATATTTAGTTAGACAGCTCTTCAAATCATACTGTGTGACCTTTGACATGAATATTTCTTAAGTGACAATGAATGCATTAATTGTTTTTAGTTCATGCTTTTTATGACTGTATATATGTTTATTTCTTTTTAACAATCAAAGATTTTTAAATGAATTTATAAAATTCTTTGAGAGATTATTTTCTGTATTTCTCTTTTTCACAGAAATGGACACATGGTGACACATAGGGATAAGAAGCCCTATGAATGCAGCTACCAAGATTGTGACAAGAGTTACTGTGACATGAGATCACTTCGCAGACACCTAGAAAACCACCATGCAGCCAACCAAGGCAGCAGCCAAGGAAGTAGAACATCAAGCCCTGCACTAACCACAACAGAGACAACTGATACTCTATCTACTGCTAATGTGGTCAATGTAACTAAACCTGGTAGAGGCAGGCCACCTAAAGATAGAGGTTTAAAACATGAAGTACATGATGCAATTTTGGATCATTTGAGATCTGGTGAATATGAGAGTGGTAAGAGTTCTGGTACTTCAACGCCAGGTAGTACACATGATGCTGCATATGTAAGAGATCAAACCAAAATAGTCCTATCAAGAGAGCGTAACAGTGACAGTTTCAGCTCTACTGGTTCAGAGGAGGTCGCACATGTACCAGCAGACAAAGGGACAGAAGCAATGCAAACAAGTGCAGAGGAATCCAAACCACATACTGCTATTGACATGCTGAAACAAGCTGCTGAGAGAGTACAAGAACACAGGGAGAAGCAGTCTGCTGTAGAACACTATCCTCCTACTCAACAATATATGATGTACCCTGAGGGAATTCCTTATCCCCAGCAGTGGTACCAGGCTTCTGTTTTTCAAGGTCAAGACCCCAGGTTTGGTGTGTATACATACCCACCAATGTTTGCCCAGCAAGTATATCATGGCCATCCAATGATAGTCAATGGTCAAAATATCCAGAGACAACAACTAGCTGCTAGACTATATGCCGAAGCTGATAAACACAGTGAAATAGTTCAACAACAACAAGGTTCAAATGCTTCACATCCAGGCAAAGTTACTCAACAGTCTCCTTCAATAGAAAAACCATCATCTTCTACAACACCGGGTACATTCATAAGACAGGCTGTACAGTCTACAGCTGCGGGCACACCAACTGATCCTACTGCTATTGCCATAGCAACAGCCAAAGAAAAGGGACAACACCTTTACACCAGGGAAGGTTACTATGGTGTTCATCCATCAGGCACACAGTGGCAACAAGTAAGTATAACAGAGTATAATACACTCTGCTTCTCTGTTGTAAAGTTTGATTATGAGGTTCCAGATATTATCTACATGTTTTTCTCTAAGAATCTAATGTTAGACCCCATATCCAGCATTTAAACATGCTTAAAACACCTAAATATACCTCCAATACCTTTCAATTCAGACCCATTAAAATTCTACTCCCCTTGTTATTGATGAGGGGGAGAGGGAGAGGGTAAAGATTTTCACCAATTCCATGTTGGTTTTACTTAGCATTGCCCCTACTAGCTTCTATTTTACTTTCTTTACTTCTGGCACTGTAAATTATAAATATTTTTTAAAGCCAGATATATATGTGGAGATAAAATCAAAGATAGGAAATAGTTTTTTATGATTTTGATAGGTTCTTTCAACAAGTAATCAATACTCGTAATACATTGGAAGTTCTCCTTTGAACATGTTCAATAACACATCTGACATCCAATTGATAACTAGTTGTCTATGATTTATAACATGTTATTTCAAAACATCTAGAGACATTTTCAGAGACAACTAGTTATCAATCAACACATCTGACATCACTTAAACCATTTTAGAGTATTTCTTCTTTTCTTGACATCTACAGGCTTTACTTTAGTTGCCATCCTTTAATAATATCTGCTAAAATGCTATTAGAATATTGTCCAAGTCTTTTGTCAAGTATGCCAGTTAGGAAAAGCTTAAAATGCTAGGGAGACACAAACTTGTTTAATGGAATTAACAGCTAGTTTTGAAAGAAATGTTAAGTTGTCAATAAGTCATAAAGAATATTTGCTGTCCTGCTGAAACTACTTTTATGCCATTCTTCAGTATAGATAAATATGTAAAGTACAATGCCATAATTCCAATTTGAGAATCATGCACAAAGTATGACTTGAATGCCCTAGTATTGTTTCATTTTAGTAAAACTAACACTGTTCATTTTAAAATTCAGATTCACAACTTCACAGTTTTTACAGTTAGTTTTTCCTTGGTAAAATGTTCTTCCATGTTCTAATAATCATGTTTGTTTCTGACTTGCTCATTTGATTCCTTCTTTTATAGTTGTTGTTTCTTTATAGGTTCCTTTTAATCTGTAATTCATTTTCATAAAAGCCTAGGTTTTCAGGGATGGCACATTTTACATATCTTTCCATTACATTAATATCCAAAACACAATTAACATCCCCTCATTATTCCTTTTCTAGGATTTCTTCTGATGTATCTTTTGTATTTACTCACTGCTTCTATTCTTTTTTGTATATTTTTTTAGATTTTTTAAACAAAAAAAAAAACAACGAAAAACAAAAAAGAATCTAAAATTGCTGTAATTCTTGTTCATATTTCACTTAAATTGTTTCCAATATTTTCACTGATTTTCACTAGCTTTCAACTATGGATAGTTTTTGCTGTACCTCCTTTTTCTCTCTCATCTAGCAGAGAGATTCAATATTTGAATAGCAAATGACATACACTTATTAATATTCATAAGTCATTGTTAACACAGCCAGCTGCTGCTTCTAAATTTATCACTTTCTGACAGGTGACCTGTATTCTTCATTTTGATTGGATATCTTAAACAGAATTCACATCTGATTGGCTGTCCTTGTTGCTTTGTGGGAATCCTATTTCTGGTGGATTTGCATTTTGTTTTACTGTAGGAGGAGGAATATCTCCTCATAATTTTTCTCCATCTCTCTCCCTCTCGCTGATGACTGAGTGGTCATGTGACTTCATTTATCGGCTACATTTTCTGCAGTTGTAGTTGTAGTACCTTTCTATTTACAACCAGTAGTATTGAATAGAATATTGAAAGTATAGTTGATTGTATCTAATGGAGCCCAAGGCTCTAGGCTTCTCTGTGCTGTCTTCAACAACCAGATTAATGCAGAGATCACCTTTAAGCCGATCCTCATCACAACAGAATGGTCAAGGCAGGTACTTTCGTTATCTTTCACACACAGCTCTTTTTTCCAACCCTTTTTTCTTCCCTTAATTCAAATATCAAAATACCTAGCATATAATTTAGTCAGATTTTAAATATCCACGAAACAAAACTGCTAAACACCATAACATATCTCTATTTTTGCATGAAGGTTTGGATTTTTAATCTTGACTATTAGTCTTTTTTTTGGCTTGATGTATTTTCTAGAAGGAGCTGTATTGTTAGTTGTCAGGATATTACATGTACATGTATATGGTACTTTCATATGACGTTTTCTCAGCCATTTTTCTCTCTTAACTTCTCAAAATTCTTGGTATCTAAGCTGTTATTAATTCTAAATACAGAAGTTCCTCTTTTAATTTTTTTTAGCCATGAACTATTCTTATCATTGACTTTATCAATATCACCTCTCTCTTTTTCCTCTTTCTCTGCCTTTACAATTAATGCAATATTTCAAGACATTTATTTAGAAATAATAAATCGTGTTGTACAAAATCCCTTATCATTCTCTGCTATTTGTAATTTTCAGTATATCCCCAAGAAATTGTTGATAAGTTCTTAGAATTTGCTTTACACTAAAAAATGCAAAAACAAAAATTGAATACATAAACCCCTAAGAAACCTAAGAAAATATATATGCTGTGAGAAATATTGTTGTGATTCTTGTTTTATAAGTTATTTGATTTTTTAACTAGATCTTTTTTTTTTACATATTCATCAAAACCTTTTATTAGTAATGTTGTTGTCATATGCATGTAAGCACTTTTTTCTTGCTATAAAATGTATTGATTCATTTACCTGAAAATGTACTAAATATCAGTTTAGTAAGTAACTTTCATAGCAAATAGACCAATAGATCATGTCTATTACTGTATCTAAGTTTTGGGTAATGCTGTTTATTGAATTGGATTTTTCCCCAGGTTCACTTTATTTAGTGATAAATTAAAACCATATCTGTGTGCTACAAATACTATTTATGTATTACAATGTATATATATATATAGGATTAACTTGTAGCCCTTGTATATTACCAGGTTAGGTATGATGAATCTTCCAAACAATACAATACTTCAGATGTATCAATGGGTAATGTGAAGACCTCCATCAGTCATGTTGGCTCCCCAAGCAGCAACAGTAGTGCTAGTGAAGTTGATAGTGATAATATTGACCGTTACCCTAGGAGTGTCCATTTTGCTGCTGGAGTAAGACATGACAGAAAACCAGTAGATATGAGTTACCAAAGAACAGATAACACTTTCCATCATGTTCCCGAAGGAAATGTTATAAAAGAAGAACAGAAGACAGGGAATGTGAAGGATGCTTCAGCTGATGATGGTATCTTCAGGAATCCTGCAGCAATTGTGACACCCCAACGTAAACGCCGACCAGAGCCTCTCAAGATTCCTCCTTCTGCTAGTACAGCTTACTTTTCCAATCATCCAGGATCACCAACCAACAGGAATAGACCATGTTCTCCTCCTTACACTCCTCCTCCTATGTTAAGCCCTCGCAGTGTGTTCAGCCATGTCAATGCTGCAGGAAATCTGACCCCAAGATCTATGTTGCCACAGTTACCAATGACTCCAAGTAGACTCTTACTCAGCAGTCGCAGCTGTAGAAGTAAGTATACATTAGATTAGGGCACCTTAGGAACTGGTAGGGATATCTTATTGGTTTGACGTTGTTCTTTTTAGGCAGCATAGATGGTGAAGAAGAATCTCTTACCTTTCCTGAACCGTAAGTATTGAACTGTTTTACCTCATAGATGAACATAAATAATTCAACAACAATTATTATGTTTCTCTAAATACCATTATATCTAGATGTCTAGCTCAAACTTGTATCTTGAAATTATTTGATAATCCTTCAGCATATACTTAATTTCATTGTAATGATTTTCTTATCTTTACAGAAAAATTAATGTTGGTCCTCAATTCCAAGCCAAGATTCCAGATAGACTTTGTAAGTTATTCATAATATTAATACTGTATATAAAAAATAAATAATGTAGAAAATGAGATGCTAAGTTAGTAATAGTAAATTATGCAACATCAAATGCAAATTAATAGTGAATCAAGCTTTAGTTTAATTCTTGGTTAGACTTTCAAATAATGTTTTGTGTGTTTTTTAGTATCCAAGGAGTTAGCAAAGAATGATGTGCACAAAGCTACACTGTGCTGGGTCCCCATGGATGAGAAGAAGAAGGGAAGGCCTGAAGAAAGTAAGTACACAACAACATTACTGTATTTACTCAACAATAGACAGACAAGATTTCCTATTAAACATTCCTTACTTAGTAAATAATAATTTACTTACATTTATCAAGACAGACCTTATACTTATCTCTTTCCTGCTACAATCTTGATTCAAAGTTAAGGGGTTTTATCAGGGGTTAGGAATAACTGTTCTAGTGTCACTAATAAGTATTTTATATATTGGTTTTAGTTCATGCATTCTTAGAAATGACTGCATCTGCTGCTGTATTTGGTGGTGGCTCAAACAAGGAGTATGCTCTACATATATTACGAAGAACTAAAGGAAACATCAAGGTTATTATTATCTTTAGTGATTTGATGTCTCAAAACGACCACAACAACCACAATAACAACCTCATCAACCACAACAACCACTACAAAAACAATCATCACCTCAAATCTACCACAACAACATCAACAACAACCACGACAAAAGTCACCACAACAATAACCACCACAACAACAATCAAACAACAACAATTACCACAACAACAACAACCACCACAACAACAACAACCAAAACAAAAATCACCACAACAACCACCAACACAGCAACAACAACCACCACAACAACAACATTAACTTTACAAGGAGCAGCTACTGTATAGCACAAAGTCTTATGTGAAGATGACACACCTCATGTTGATAATGTTTTGTTGTCTTGTTGTTACAGGAAGCTGTTAAGTTAATGCTGAGTAAGAAATATGTAAGGGTACCAACTGATCCCATGTTTGATTACCATTATGAAGGTAAATAAATGTCATTACTTATCATAACGATAACAATCTTGTCTCGATTTGAAAAAGTTCCACAAAAGATCTTCATTTCCTTCTTTTTTCTATTTGTCACATTGTCAAAAATAGCTTCCCTTCATATTAATTCATCTTATTGCCTATTTTTTCATTGATTTTTTTCTTACTCTTTACATTTATATTTAGGTTCAATAAAGTGGTCGGCCAGAGAAAGACAGTCTTTCCGCAATGCTTTCAGGGCAAAAAACAAGGATTTCAATGACATTCAAAAAGAGGTAATGCTTATAACTGTTGGTCACTCCACCGTAAAACAGTCTTAATTGTATGAACAATTTGTTTGCTGTCAGATTGGCACCAAGACAGTTCAAGACTGCGTAGAATTTTATTACCTTTGGAAGGCAAACAACCCCGAGGCAGTAAGAGGAAGAACCAGATACATTGACTCTGATTCATTTGAAGAAGATGTTGATTATGACTCTGATAGTGAAACCAGCAGTAATCCTTCCTTATTTGAATGTGACTTTCCACAGTGTAGCGCAGTAAGTATCACTAGAACCTTTATTATCTGACCGGTCGTGTTGTTCAGGGTTTCTCTTTGCATGTATTGAAACGAAGAATAACTTCGTTGCCAAGGTGATTGAACAGAGCTTGTCTATCCTGTTGAAGTCATTACAGAACTGAGAATATTAACTTACTAAACACCTTATAATACTGTCTATCAGGCTCCACTAAACACCTTATAATACTGTCTATCAGGCTCCACTAAACACCTTATAATACTGTCT